TTAAAAAATGTTGCACTAATAAAAAGCTATGTAATCACTGAGCAACATAGGCTATGTTTTTACAATTTTTTTTTATTTTACGCGGGCGAATTCGCAATAGCTAGTATACAATTGGATAAATTGTATTACCCTTTGAACTTTGAATATGGTAGACTACGCTATTGCATTATTTCCATTGAAAGTGACAAATTAACTTAGCTTTTATATTTTTCATACTTATCGTGTACTCGACTCGTAATATATCAATAGGCGAAAAAATATTTAATTAACAAGATACTGGGTCGTTATGCTGTCGAGTGCAGTTAAGTGCGGTGCCTCAGATCTGCTGACACGAGGGTGCTTCAACTTGAAGCGGGAGCAGGGATCTTATTATATTCGGATTCAAATTTTATTATAATACTAGCTACTAGCTTTAGCCCGCGAATACTTACGTGTGGAAATGAAAAAAAGAAAAGTGTGTAGCCTATATGTTCTTCCCGACTACCCTCTAAATTTATACCAATTTTCATCGAAATCCGTTCTGCCTTTAGGCTACAAACTCTAACAAACATCCATCCATCCATCTAAACATTCGCATTTATAATATTAGTATGATTATTTTATTTCGTTGGATGCAGTTACCTTGTTTTGAACCTCATGCATTCATTCTAAAAATCATTGTCAGATATTTTCTTTTGAAATACATCTTTCCCATAGAAAATCCTGTAATGTTTAGTCGTTTAATGTAACCATTTTAGTATGCCGATAGTAATAAGGAACAAAAAGCATTAGGTAAATGGAACAGGCCACTATATTTACACGTGATTGCGCAGGGAGCCGGAACATGCCGGCAAATAGGTTAGTTATAAATATAAAACGCATTAATATGGCGCGGACAGAACTACTGAGGGTATTGTACGCATACATTTACATCAACAAAATCCATAAAAATTTTAGCTTGTAAATATTATCTTGGTACTGGTTTATTTTTAGTTATTAATAAATGCAAGCGACAGGCAAGATGATCCCCAACATTATGGTTGATTAAGTTTGAGCAATTTTGGACAAACTAAAGTCTTTGGTCACCAGTCAGTGTTTATTATATAAACTATTTAAGTAAGTGACTAAGGGGATGTCCCGATACTGGCTGATAGAGGCTAAGATAGAGTAAAAATGACATTCTGTCAGATAAGGGAGCAAAATCCAAATTTTCCACCACCTTTTTTACATGTTGGGTTGTTATGAGACAATTTACAATTTGGTGGGACAGGCCCTTGGTGTAATATCTTTGCAAATGCGACGAAAATGTATAAATGTCGCTACAAATTCCCATTACGTTTAACACTTTCATAGCGTGATGTAATCCGTTTCAATCAGTGTAACATTCTCGTAACAGATAATAGAAAGTGTTTTAATTGACACTTTTAATTAAATTGTTTATTACACTTTACTCGCGACTTTATCCGCACGGAATTCATCTAGTAATAAATATAGCCTATGTGCTGTGAAAATGTAGCTTTCTAATCTATACTGATACTATAAAGAGGAAAGATTTGTTTTTTTTTTTGTTTTTGTATGTATTCGATTCACGTAAAAACTACTGGGCAGATTTCAAAAATTCTTTCACTATTAGAAAGGTCGTTTATCTGTGAGTAACATAAACAAACATACAATTATGGCTTTCAGTAATCAAAGTAGGTATAGATTTGTATGGCCTGGAGTGCGCGTTAACGATTATGTTATGCGCGTGATGGTGCAATGATTGCGCGTAATTAGTTACGCAAAGTTTACGCCTAGTTGCGCCCAATATGCGCTTATTGCTTTACGCGAATTATCCGCAATTTTAGTGGGCTGATGCTCGTCTGCACCAAAAGAGCGTCGGAGGCTCAGGGGTTTGAACACTTGACTTGTAATGTGGTCTTGGGTTCGAATCTCGCAATGTATTAATGTGATTTTCGTATTTCATATGTACATACTTTATGCGACGTTCTTACGGTGAAGAAAAACATCGTGATACCTGCACATATCAAAAGATACGTGTGAAGTCAACCAACCCGCAGTATGCAAGTGTAGTTGAAAGGCCTAGTCTCTCTAACTCAGGGTAGGCTATGAGCCCAGTTGGGACGTGTAGTGAGCTGGTGATGACCGTACAAATCAACTTTTAGTATGCAATTATCGTATACCTCACTAAAATCCGATTGAATCTTTTATAGATTTTTATTCGAGTCATCCATTAAGCTAGGATTCATTGGAATAGAAAATCTCCGCTTTCGTCACGCTTGGACGACGGTCGGATGTGGGAGCGGCTCGCAGATTTGAATGGACGTTTTTAGTACAGTCAGTCAATGGAGCTAAAAATATCTGTGCGTTGTGTTGATTGAGAACATATTTCCATATAATAGAATATTTTTTTCACAAACTGAACAGTTTCCAATAGCGATATAGATTTATTAATCGATTCAAGTTTATTTGTGTTTTTAAAGTGTCTATTGTTCCATAATAAAATTGTTCTTTAGGACATTTGAGTAAAATCAGTAGTGTATTGGTTGTATAAAAACCTACTTACACTTTTTTCCACTGAACCGTATCGTACTCCAGCTGAGAAAGTAAATTAATCTATGGAAATTATTCATGCACGTGTCTTCGTACCGCTCCAGTGGAAAAGCCCTCTTTTATCTTTTTTAAATACCTCACCGTTATTGGTTAGAGATGAATCCAGTGGCATTTCGAATATATTCGTATTACTCTAAGTTAAATTTTATTTTCTGTGTCGTTGATGAAATAAAGAAACACATAGACAGTATCCTCTATAATTTATATATAATATTGTTTGTAAATAAGAACCACATGTTGTCCTTAAGTTGTTACTTTGTTATACGAGTATTGTATAATAATACTAGGACCTTGGTAGGCGCACGCGATGTGGGCCTAGACCTAGGTAATGCAATTACAGGATTGCGGTCGGCGCGCCGGACCGTGAGGTCTTATGGCCCTCGTAGCCATCGCTGTGGTAACTAGGGGGTCGATGATCTCTCGTATTTATACTTGGACTTCTTTTAAAAGAAGGAAGAGTACATCGGGTATTTCTTAATGGGATAAATCAGTCTACCGATCGATTAAATCGATGCGATGTTTTCCCATTGGATCAATCGATTGTATACATTCAATTGGTCCAATGGCAGAAAATCCCATTTGTTCAATCGATCGGTGAGCCGCTCAGCACTTCAGAAACACCCGTGACATCCCTTAAGAGATAGATTTGCAAATGAAGTATTTTACAATAGCATCTGTAAATGCGATCGTGTTAACTTGAGTTAAGTTATAATTTGTTGCATTTGCTGCAAGAATCATCGTTCGTCGGAATGGGGGCGTCTGAATCAGCATTTAATTGCTAAGTCATTGCCGTCAACGGGCTTGCGTTAGCTTATCTTGATGAATTCAAAGCCGTTTTAAATCGTAAATTCTTATTTTATGTGATGTTAACGGATGATAAAAAATATTTTTAATCTATGTCTAGTGACGTCACGGGTTTGAATTTAACAGAGAAAGTAAACGTGTAGGTTAAAAAGTATTTATAACCCAAAAAATATACTTATTATAGATTAACATGAAATGTATTTGAAAAACTGCAAAAGTTTTTATGATAATACTCTAAATGTCGAATAAAATCTATATCTATGTCTATACTTCTATACCAATATTATAAAGAGGAAATTTTGATTTGTATTTTTTTATTTTTGTATTCATGAAAAAACTCTGAAACTACACAACCGATTTCAAAAATTCTTTCTCTACTAAAACGCTACGTTATCAGTGAGTAGCATAGACTATATTATTTAATTTCACACAGACAACCGCCAGCAACAGCTAGTCTTATGTAATCAGGTTCTTTTAAATGTCTGCAACAAAAGCAAAACTAGCACAGAAAGGTAAAAACATAATATTCTCTGAAGTTCTTTCTACTAATCACTAAAACTTACCTTGAATCTCGCTAATGTTTATACCGCGTGTTTACATAATGCACCTTACAGCTCTACATTTAGGGTAATTATTTGATTGTATACGCTTACAAGCTCTGATGAGGGTCGCCCAAGGCCGTCCATTGTGCAGATCCGGCCTGTCGGTAGTTCATAATCCCTGGCCACTTGGATTATGCATGCGAAATAGTTATGTAAACGTGTACCCGTAGATTTGATGCAGTTTTCAACTTTATTACGTAGGCGCTTAATGTTATTATTGCTTACAAATGATGTTACATTACTGGGATTATTGTGTTGAAGACTGTCAGTAGGGAATTTGATACAAACCAACATTTAATTTATTTGCTGGATGAATGTGGATTAAGATTAAAATGGAATGTTTAGTAATTATTCTCCTACTGTCGTACTCAGAATGGTATCTTAGATGATAATTCTATACTAAGGGATTAAACAGTTATACTGTCTGATTGGAACGGAAATAGATAAGATATGCCGCTTTTATAAAAAAAAGAAAAATATGATTCATGAAGGAATGAAAAAGCATTTTATTAAAAATTCCTTAAGTTATAAGTAAAATGTTATTCTATATTCAAAACTCTTATCTTATTACTAACTGTTGCTTGCGACTACGTCCCCGTGATTTTTAAAGTAAAAATGTAGCCTATGTCACTCACTTATACGTAGCTTTTTAATGGTGCAAGAATTTTTAAAACTGGCCAAGTATTTTGGAGTTATTTTAATACGTACAAAAATCCAAATTTTTACCTACCTATACTGATATTATAAAGAGGAAAGATTTGGATATTGTATGTATTTGATTCACGCAAAAACTACTGGGCCAATTTTAAAAATTCATTCACCATTAGAAAGGGAATTTATCTGTAAGTAACATAGCTTATGTTTTCTATCATTTTTTTAAATTAACGCGGGCGAAATCGCGAGCAACAGCTAGTTTAGCTACTTTAGCTCTTTTAACAGTAACATAGATATAGAAAATGTTTGTTTGATGTATTATTCTATCTGTAACATTGTGTTGTACAGGGTGCAGTGCCGCAGTCGCAAGGTGTATCGATGAGCCGGCGCTAGCTCTCGCGGGAGAGGAGCGTCTCGACACGCTGCGTGCACATATAACATGTGAGTACTATCATGCACAGTCGAGGACAATAATTTCCTTTCCATATGTGTATCTATGTGATATAAGGTACCGAATGGGGATCAAATATGATTCCTTGATAATGTGACAGTAATATTTTTGATGATAATAGTAGTACCCTAAAGTAAATGACATACATTTAAAGGTCTAGAAAATTGTATCAAATAGATATACAAGTAACAAGAAAGAATGAATAAGGATGGCTAAAAAGGTAGAGGAAGACTGAAGAAAGTATGGATAGTGTGAAAGGGGATATGCTTAAGAAGGGAGTGAATTTAGATAAGACGGCTGATGTATGGAAGAGCAGTATACTGTGCCAACCCTCCGTAGGGTATATACACGTATCAAATTACATTAAGAGCGGACACACACCTTTGATTGAACTATCCCATAACTGTTGTGTGTCGATTGTTTCGCAGCTAATTCGACTGTTTAGTTGCACAACTAAAAATTGAGTTGTGTGCGCACCTCCATATAAGCTCATAGGAATCAAAGTGTGACTAAAAAGTTGTGCGATTGGTTCGTCAAAAGTGTGCAGGCTTTTACAAAGATGTATAGTTTTTCATATTAACTTTATTGTAATTGAATATAATCAAAATATCATTATAACGTAATATTATTCTCTACACCTTAATCAAATGATGGACAAAATAGTCTAAAATCTTAATCGAGAAATAATAGCTTCGATATGAGGTTTTAATAACATTGACACGCTTAGAGCCATCAACACGTATGTCTGCTATATACTGTGAGGTTCAAATGGTAAGCGTGGGTTTCCATTGTTAAAACATTTGTGCAAAATTATATTGTTTTCCCTTTCATTCTCTATAACGAAACAGAGACATCAATGTGGGAAAACATCTAGAGTTTTAGACAGAAAGGTGAGCCACAGGGTGTAGAATTACATAGTCTCACATAACCTCTTCCCTCATAAAAGGCGCCGTAGAAACCTCTGCCAGAGTGTTGGTAACATTGAAAATATCGCGCAGTGGAATTCTACGGTTAGGAATGTAACAACAAACAAAACATAAACACCTTAACACGTCTATTACGATGCAAAAAGCATTGGTTTTTTGCCTTGTTAAGATCATCGGCCGGCTAACTCAATTATAGCCTGTCCGCGCAATTACGTTCCGGATTCGAAGAGGGCGAGGATCGAGTAATTATTGTGCCACTTGCTATCTGTCGGTGTTAGAAATGTAATCACCAACACTACCGAGTAAAGATAGAAATTACACACATGTAATGCCCCTTTTGTGATGTTCAAGTATTTTGATGGCGTTGTTTATACTTACTGCGATACTTTTGACTAAACTATCGCACAACTGTTGTGTGTCGATTGTTTCGCAGCCAATTCAAATGTTTAGTTGCCCAACTAAAAATCGAGCAGTGTTCGCACCTTCATATAAGCTCAAGATTCAAAATGCGACTAAACAGCTGTGCGTTAGTTTAGTATAAGGTGTGCGCGCGCTCTTTTACTATATGTAACTGTTGGAAACTGTATTTTTATGGTAATTTAGATAGTATTTTAAAACCTAAACACATCATCACAAAATGCAATTTAATCAAATACAGTTTAATTTACAAAATGCAACATTCAGATTAGTTTAATTGCCACTAAGAGCAATTTTAATGTAGATTCAGTAACAGTCCTGATGTACCGTTGAGAACTACTTCCTCTACTTTACTCTAGGTAATGGTCACAAGGAAGTACGGTTTACGTGTTATCTAATCATCGCGAATAACAACACGGCGGCAATTGGCACAGTGACGTTAACAGACGGCATATATGGTATAAAGGCAAAACGCTTGTCTTCAATTGCTGTCACACAATCATCCAATAAGCCGGGTCGTTGATCTCAGGCAAGTGTCTTATGAATAAGTGTCGCTATTAAGGGCTGTCACAACAGATATATTTGATTTTACGAATAAAATACGAGAATTATATCTTAATTTTTAGTTGCAAAATGTAGAGATAAGTAAACTAAGATTGTTAAAATAATGGTGATGATAATATTTGTATTGAATTATATGTACACAATGAAACCACCCGCCGCCCTTTCGTTCCCATATTCAGGGACCTGGGGAGCGGATTTATCTCTTTATGATTTTTTTAAAGTTAAAACACATTTACAAGAGAACTCTAGTTTTCTGAACCTCATGATTAATAAAGAGGCCATAGAGGTATGCGTGGCACGAAAAGGATCTACTTACTTTCAAGATATGGACAGGAGTTGTTATTTTTAAAATTGCCTCAGCGATACATGACAGCCCTGCTAGTAAGTGGGACAAATCAGGCCATCTCGCGTCGCCTTGCCGTCGCGCTCGCTGGAGACAAGCGCCGGAAACTGATGCACCTCTACATTGACTGTGATGGATGTGCACCTAACCTGACTAATTGAAATACTTCACATTGTGATTGACCAGTGGAAATAGACCATAAATGTATTAGGGTCATCTCCAGAATAGATTCGGTTAGAGGCTAGGTTGCACTTACAGTCATCTTGTGCACTCAATAGTAATTTTGACATTTGTTTTGTTATAGAAATTCAGTTGTTTTAATTCCAAGTATACACTATCACTATCATAAGAGAAAAGATTTGTATATATTGAAATATTTAAAAAACTACTGGTGAGATTTTGAAAATTTACACCATTAAAAAGCTACTTTATCAGTAAGTAACATAGGTTATGTTTTACTATTTTTAATTCCACGTGGATGAAGTCGCGAGCAACAGCTAGTAGAGTATACTTTAAATTTATATACAGGATGATTCTTACGGACGGATCAACGGCATTGTGGATCAACGGATACGTCCGTTAAGAATCATCCTGTATACCAGTGAAGTCGAGTCGAAGTAAAACACAAGTACCTTACATTTTATAAGGCAGTCTGTAACAATGTATTCATCGATGTACAAACCAAACAGTGTAACTGCTTAGTATGCCAGACATCTTTAGTATTAAAACATGATCAGAAATTGACGATATCACGACTGTCTTCGTGACTGGCTTCCTATTGTGTCAATAACATGGTCTTTGTTTTGATTTTTTATTACACAAGCACGCTAAAGACATAACTAATTAACATAGAGTCGTTTTATGATTATTCCATTTTACACTTAGTGAATATTTCTTTGCTTAAACTGCACTAAGAGGCACTTTTAGTGACCATGTTGAAAATCGAGGTTGTAGTATCGAACGTTTTTATATTTTAGTAATGAATTTTTAACGCTGGCGTCCAGAAACACGATGTTAATTAATAGTTTCTGAACAATAGTAATAATAAAATATAGCCTATGTTACTCACAGATAAATTACCTTTCTGATGGTAAAAGAATTTTTAAAATCGGCCCAGTAGTTTTTGCGTGAATCAAATACATACAAAAATACAAATCTTTCCTCTTTGTAATAGTAGTATAGATCACATATCATCATATCCCCTGCCTTATCCTACTCCCGTAGGGTCAGCGGTATGTATAGATCACACGTAATGTATTTAAATGTCAATTTCATGTAACTATATCCTAATTATTTTAATTATCCTGGAGCCAATTTGAGATTAATTAGATATCTTAATTTGAGCTAGAACTATATAATATCTCCATTAGACACTTCTATAGTTGACAGAATACTCACATTTCTATAACATAATGTACAATCCTCTGTTATGTGCAGTAATGTAAAACTCGCAGCATATCCCGAGCTCGCACGGCCCAGCAGTTGGACAGGTATGCGCACATTATGCAAGCCTAGCATCATGTGTGCAAGGAATTTTAAACCCCTTTTATTTTTAACTCTAGCATTACTACGGACATCAGTATAATCTAATATCTATTTTGAATAGTGTTTTTTAGTATGAATGTGGAATGTTTGTAAATTGTAGTTTGAGTGCTCCGCGTATGCAGTTCGTACTTTATGATTTTTACATTGTCAGCATCTCTACTATTATACAGAGTGTCGTCAATCATATTTGCGACCAAGGAATCTGTTGTCAACAAATACATTTCACGGACACCCTGTATATAGACCTTCTTCAGAACAGTATGCTGTCTTTCCGTAACCAACGATTTTCCATAGTGCGATAATTAAAAGAAATATTTCGTTTTAAATTTGACTGTTATTAAAATACTAGCTTTTGCTCGCGACTTTCTCTACATGAAATTTAAAAATGTTGCCTCTTAGGTTACTCGAGATTAACGGAGCTTTTGAATTGAGAAATAAAGAGTGTAATCGGCCCAGTAATTTTTGAGTTATTTTAATACGTACAGAAATAAAAAATACAATTATTTCCGCTTTATATTATTAGTATGGATGATATAAATAATATAGTAGTAGAGACTACGGTAGTTAATACAATTAAAATCGATATAAGAATGTACGAAGTAACACTTGTGCAATGATCAAGAACAATAGATCGCGTAACACCTGTGTTACGACTCATATTAATATACGCGATCCTATTGTGTAAGGACGATTGTATCGTACAAGTAATGTAACCGTATACCTTATGTCATTGCAATAAGGTCGATATTTATACGGATTGACTTTCGAATCGCACCAATTTGATTGATACTTGTAATATTATGATCTAATATTTAATCTAAATACTGATGTTAGGATTTTGTCGTAACTGTGAACAGCTATATAATATACTAGCTGTTGCTCGCGGCTTCGCCCGCGTGAAATTTAAAAATAATAAGAAATATGGCCTATGTTACTCGCAGATTAATTACCTTTCTATTGGTGAAAGAATTTTTAAAATTGGCCCAGTAGTATTTGATTTATTTTAATACATACAAAAATACAAATCTTTCCTCTTTATAATATTAGTATAGACTAGCTGTTGCACGCTACTTCGTCCGCGTGAAAAAAAATTAAGCCTAAGTTACTCAGTGATTATGTAGCTTTTTATTGGTGAAGGAATTTTTAAAATCGGCTCATTAGTTTTTGAGTTATTTCAATATATACAAAAATATAT